GTCAAAATGATGCGGAAAAGTTAAAAAGCCCATTGGAAAACGCACTGGAAGCTTTAGACCTAAAATAATCCTCATTTTTAGTGGTTTTTGAGCAATCGCAACTTTTAACCGACGATATTTTCCTTATTATTGACTCAAACACCTTATATATGTATATTGGGAAGCTTTTTGGGACAGAAGCAATCCGTTGAGCGCAAAAAACAGGCAAGTGAAATCTTCATTTTTGACCGAAAATTTCATAAGGGTGGAGGTCGATTTTTCCGAAAAATATCACTACGCCCAAAATGCCTGGAATTCCACGTAATTTTCGTCAAAATGATGCGGAAAATGTAAAAAGCCCATCGGAAAACACACTGGAACCTTCAGACCTAAAGTAATCCTCATTTTTAGTGGTTTTTGAGCAATCGCAACTTTTAACCGACAATATTTTCCTTATTATTGACTCAAACACCTTATCCAATATATGTATATTGGGGAGATTTTTGGGACGGAAACTATCCATTGAGCCCAAGAAACACGCATGTAAAAATGGCTTCAGAAGGATTCCTTAAAGCGTCAACAAACAATTTACCATGCGTACATATTTTTATGGTTACCGAATTTTGCAAAAACGACGAACGCTTTAATTCAGCCGAATTTAAGGGTGTCAAAGCAGCAGCGCACGTAAAAATCCGTAAATTTATTAGTAGTTGCTCTCTCCTTAATACACTAATCTGTCTATATTGGTTTAAATTAGGTGAATAATTTATAGAATTTCACTTATTCAACTTAACCTAACCTATACACATGGCTGCTTTAAAAGTAAAATGAACTCTTAAATTTGTATTTTGGGCATCACGAGAACAATATGGCAATATCGGATTTGTGGGATTGAAACGCGAGGGTTCTTTGTGCACTTTTAAGGCAGAATTTGCCCAGAACACAGCGTACCATCGAAGGCATATTCTGTCTGCCTCATCTTTAGCGTTTTGTTCCGACTTTCATTAAAATGATCCTCGCAACAAAAAAACATTGATTTTGATTTAGGAACATCACGTCTAGCTGCTTTGAACCATAAAACTTTACGTGCATAATCATGGGCAACGACTAGAAAGAGTTTGTTTGGAGCACTTATTGAGGCATCCTGGCACAAAACGCCACTTATTTTGTGATCCATAAATGTCACTATTTTCCAGTATGCAAGATAATAATAATAATGACAATCACAAGAGCTTAAATAATAAAACAAAGCTGCGAAAACAGCAAAATAAACACGAGACCCTTTGTTGATATGACCTGCTACGTCACAATCGGGATAGGCAACCAGCGATACGGATGCGGCCTTTTTGGCGGAAAATATCTGTTTTGAATTTAAACTCGCTTTAAAACTATTATGGAGACTTTTGTGCAAAAAAAAATACATCAGTGAACCTAATGTTTGCCACAACTACTTTTTTGCCCTTATTAATCGAGGCATTCGACCAATCAACATCGAGTGGCCGGGCGGATTGCGCAACAACACCGCGCTCAAGGATCGCTCAACATCAATTAAACGTAAACAATTTGATCTTTCATTTACACATTATTAATTATTATCATCGCAAACGAAAATACCACCGGCTTGGGATACGGGAAAGGACTCTGACAATTGACCTTTGCTGGTTGCACATCGGGACAATGCAGTTGTTGCGCAATGTTTTATTAAGTCTAATTGGCGTTTAGGTTCAATTCACCAGGTTTTTCGCCTGCTTGAATAAGCCTGAAAACGTCCAGAAAACTCAAAGTTAATTACTCAATGGCGCAAAACTAATTAGCAACCACACACATACACAGACACACGGAAAAGTGGCAAACAAAGATCGTGATTAACTCCCATAATTGCGTTCGGCGCTAAATTAACAATAACAATTAAACATTTATTCGTGTTTAGATGCCGGCTGATATTCGTCCGCATCCGCAATTACGACTAAAAATGCCCGAAACCTCGCACTTTTTGACTCCAATTTGCACACATTCAATTAGGCGCAATTAGTGGCTGCGATCCTCACTTAAGCTCTTTTGGAGTGGCGCCAGATTTCGTAAAAAGCCACAACTTTATTAGCGCTTCCCGTTATCGAGCTGTTGGGAAACTTGGGTAATAAACGATAATTTTCACGGCACACAGATGAATGGAATTCCCTTCGTCAATGTGCTTCAGATGATCCGGCTTGAGCTCTTGGAATCCATTTCGCAGA